CTTGAGACTTCTTGGTTTGCCTAGTCCTCCCTTTACTAAGAAGCAAACATTTAAAGGAAAGGTAAGAATCACTGAAGGTAGTTCAAAGGCAAGGTGCTAACACTTGGGAATTCAAGCCAGAGGCAATGTCTCTGTGGGATCTCTTCTACAGAAGGGGTTGTAAGGTGGCACACACTTGTAATACCAGGCAAAAGAATCAGAAGTTCAAGGGCAACCTCAGCTTCACTGGGAGTTGGGATCCAGCCTGGGCCTCATGAGCCCTCGTCTCCAACAGTGATGATGCCATCCTGCGGTGTGGTCCTGAGCCTTCGTTACTGGACTGGAGGAGGAGCTAGTCCTCAAGTCTAAGCTGGTTTTGATTCCAGGAGACAACAGACAGGGTCTTAGTATGACAGGATCATTGCCAAGAATCAAACTCATCAACCCCAATCCCAGCAGAAGGCAAGCTTGAACCTCACAAGTCAATGGGGATAAAGCCTTAGCTCTCAGGTGCCAGAGCTCCTCTCCGGGCCCACTAGACTGAGTGGTAGCGGTAGGCATTGTTATCTTCCTCCAGATTTGCAAAACATGGTGCCCAACGGAGCTGGTAGTAAATGGTGAGCGTAAAGAGTTCCCTCCGCCTGCCCTCGGGAAAAACTACAATTTCTTAAATGGATCATGCATGAGTTATGAAGCAAATCACGTCCGTGAGTGCCTACGCAAAGGTAAGAAGTGAAGGACTACAATCAGGCTAAGCAAACAGGTAATTTGGAACTACATTTCCCAGGATGCTGAGGGACATCCACCCATTCAAATCACCTAGCCTATTCCATAACCATTTCTGGGAATTGTAGTTTTCTTGGTGTCCAGTGTGTGGGTTTTGGACGAGGCTTCCTGTGCTCTCTCCTCCCAGGTCTTAAGGAAAGTCCCGTAGTTCCTCTGGCAGAGAGTGAGCTCTTGGCTGAAATTCTTGAGGAGGTGAGGAAGGCCATTGGAGTCACCTTCCCCCAGGACAAATGATGGTGCAGCTCCTGGGTTGGACACAGCAAGCAATAATTTTTCCTACTTGGGACACTCTAGCTTGACCCTCATTGCTTTGGAGTTATTTTTGCAAAACAGTCCGAGCTTTCCCGTTGGAGAAAGCCCTTTCTGGGCTCTTGAGAGTCACCGTCCTCTTGATGTTCTTCCTGCACATTCTGGCATCACCTGTCCTCACACTCACTAGGATGTAGCTCTGGGAAGTGTGAGTTGATGCGGATGTCTTTCTGTGTGCTGTGAATATGTTTTCCTCTCATTGGTTGATAAATAAAGCTGCTTTGGCCTATGGCAAGTCAGTATAGAGCCAGGTGAGAAATCCAAGCAGAGATACAGGAGAAAAAGAGCAGAGTCAAGAGAGATGCCATCCAGCTGCCCAAGGAACAACATGTTAGCAGATCAGTAATGCCACAGCCACGTGGTGGCAATACTCAGATTAATAGAAATGGGTTAATTTAAATGTAAGAGCTAGGGGCTGGAGAGATGGCTCAGTGGTTAAGAGTACTGACTGCTCTACCAGAGGATCCGGGTTCAATTTCCAGCACCCACGTGGCAGCTTACAACTGTCTGAAGATGCAGTTGCAGAGGATCTGACACCTTCACACCAATGCAAATGAAATAAAGTTAAATAAACCATAAAAAAATAAATGTAAGAGCAAGCTAGTTATAAGCCTGAGCCATAGGCCAAACATTAATATAAGCCTCTGAGTGGTTATTTGGGAACTGGCGGGCGGGAGAGAAACTTCTGGTTATAATGATTGTTTTCTGGTCCAAGGGTATCTTGGGGATCTGGAGCCAAAGAATCCCATAGTCATGTCATGTAACAAACCTCACACAAGAGGTTTTATTGGGGAGAAACCCAGAATGGCAGCAACCCCAGAACAGAGACAGCAAGGGCTGGGCAGAGGGGCAGGCTTTTTTTTTTTTTTTTTTTGTAAAGATTTATTATGTATATAGTATTCTCAGTATTCTGTCTGCATGTATGCATGCAGGCCAGAAGAGGGCACCAGATCTCATTACAGATGGTTGTGAGCCACCATGTGGTTGCTGGGAATTGAACTCAGGACCTTTGGAAGAGCAGGCAGTGCTCTTAACCACTGAGCCATCTCTCCAGCCCCAGGGGCAGGCTTTTATAGGGTCTGTTATGCATGCACAGTGAGCCACAGAAAGTACCGAGCAGTCAGAAATATGATTAGGACATTAACCCTGGGTCATGGGGGTGGGGACAGGCCACGGGCAGGATGATTTCCACTGGCCTGTTACCTACAAAGAGAAACCCAAAATAACCTGGAAGGCATGCGGAATACCCGGTGGCTAGGATTGCCAGGTAACCCTGCTATGCTTGCTCTGACTGGTTGAGAGTGGGTGTGGCAGCAGGGTGTAATGAGGAGGCAAAAGCGGGCAGATCTCTATGAGTTTGAGACCAGCCTGGTCTACACAGCAAGTTTTAGGTCATCCAGTTCCAATGTGAGCCCCTAGAGAGGGATTGGTTGGGGGGGTTCAGGAGGCGGGGAGGGGGTACTAGGACAGAGACCCTGGAGCTGGAGAAATGACTCAGGAGTTAATAGTCCTCGTTGGTCTTGATTCAGGTCACAAAGTGGTTCACAACTGTCTTTAACCACAGTTCAAGAGAATCCGATGCCCTCTGACCTCCGTGAGCAGCCAGGCACACCGGGTACACATCCGTGTGCAGGCCTTAAGTCTCACACCCTGGGTCAAAGGGCTGAGGTGCCTATTTCACGTAGCAAAGCCGACCTGGCTGCCAGGTTCTCCCAGCATCCCTCAGACCCTACCTGTTGGTGGTAGGGCATGGCTGGCACACCCTGCCCTCTACCCTGAACCCTCCAGCCCAGGAGCTCCCCAGAAGCTCTGCCCTGTGTAATCCAGACATTTGGGTTCCTGCCATTTTGTACCTTTGCCTCCTTGGCTGTTGCGTGTCAGTTCCCTTCCCTCCTCTTCTCTCCTCATAACCGCGGTCAGTACCCTCTTGTCAATGCTGGACTTTGCCCGAAGTCTCTGCCTCTACTTACACCTTTCAGCTACAATAAACTTTCTTCTCCACCATACTTACGAGGAGTCATGTCCTTTCTTCTTTATTTTTCTTTTCATTCACAGACAAAACACTCATACATATAAAATAAAATAGATACATTTTTTAAAAATTCAGCCAGAGTGGGGTGGTGGTGGTGCACATCTTTCATCCAGCACTCAGGAGGTAGAGGCAGGTGGATCCCTGTGAGTTCAGGGCCAGTCTGGTCTACAAGAGCTAGTTCCAGAACAGGCTCCAAAGCTACAGAGAAACCTGGTCTCAAAACAAACAAAGAAGTATGGATTTAGGATACATTGTGTGACTCACTAGGCTCCCACACCAAATTTTGTTGTTGTTATTTAATTTTTTGTTTTTCTTATTGTTCTTTTAAATTTTGTTTTGTTTTGTGGGGGTCGAAGGGGCAGAGGGTGGATGTGAGGGGATGAGAGATGAGTAGAATCAGGGTGCATGATGTGAAATTCACAAAGGATCGATAAAAAGTTAAAAGAAAAAGAAACGAGAAAAAAGCCCTGGTGCTAGGAGGGCTTTTTCAACAGAGGACTAAAGCCAGTCTTGACACCTACATGAGTCTACCTTCCCCCAGGGCCCTGGCCACCCTAAGAAGGCTGATAAATTCCTCCTAGTATATTACAGAGTACGTTCTTGCCTGTTGCTACTTCATATTCTGAAGGTTTTCTTTCTCTCATTCGTTTTTTCCCTTTTCTGTTTATCTATTTATTTACTTATTTTTTGTTTTGTTTTGGTTTTGGTTTTTCAAGACAGGGTTTCTCTGTAGCTTTGGAGCCTGTCCTGGAACTAGCTCTGTAGACCAGGCTGGTCTCGAACTCACAGAGATCTGCCTGCCTCTGCCACCCGAGTGCTGGGATTAAAGGCGTGCGCCACCATAGCCCGCCTTATTTACTTATTTTTTGTTCATTTGTTTTTATTTGAGAAAGGGTTTCTCTGTGCAGCCCTGGCTATCCTGGAACCCTGGTTTGAGACCAGGGTGCCCAGTGCTGGGATTAAAGGGATGCTCCACCACTGCCTGGCCCTTCTTTCCTCTTGAGACAAAGTCTGTTTTGGCCATGCAGGCTGATTTGAGATTCAAAGCAATTCTACTTAGGGCTTCCACGTTTTGGGATTACAGGGATGGGGGCATACTAGGGTCTGTCCCATCCCTTTCCTTTCTCTGTTTGTTTTGAGGGAGGATCTCACTACTGAGCTTTAACTGGCCTGCCACTCCCTAAGTAGACCAGAGAGATCTCAAATTCAGAGAGCTCTGCTTGCCTCTGGGTCTGGAAGCTGGCATTAAAGACGTAGTAGACCAGACTGATCTACAGTTCATGGAGGTCTACTTGCCTCTGGGTCTGGAAGCTGGTATTAAAGACGTAGTAGCCTCTGGGCACTGCCTGATTTTGATTTTTCAATTCTTAGTAATGCAGCCTGGACTCAAACTGCACAGTCCAGGCTTGCCTCAAATTCTTTGGCAATCTTCCAACTTCACTGTCTTCAGGGCTGACCTCGCCCCTGTTGGCTATCACCCTGATCTGGTTTTGTTTGTTAATTTTCTCCAGATGGGGGTCTGGTTACAGTACTGGCTGGCTTTGAGCTTGAGGCGATACTCCCTTCTGCCTCCCAGTGCTGGGAGACAAAGTGATTATGCCTAGTCTCGGATTTTGTTTTTGAGACGAGGCTTTGTTGCTTATCCTAGGCAGGCTTTGAACTCGAGGTAATCTTACTTCAGCCTCTCTAGTGGCGTAGCTCTCTGCCACAAAGCTATGGCAAAAGGAATAATGGGTACTGGTCTGGCTTCAGGGAGAATCGCGCATGCAGACCCGGTACTGTGGCACAAACCTGTAATCCCAGAAGGCGGAAGCCCCATGCAGATGTGTCGCATTCTCGCGACAGAGGCCCCGCCCCGGCAGACCGGGCAGTCACGTGACCAGCCCTGCGGGGCGGAGGCCATGTTGCGGGGCACCCACGTGAGGGGCGCACGTCCGCGAGCGGTCACGTGACCGGGGCGCGCTGTAGCCGCCCGGGGCGCACCCGGCGAAAGGCAGCGGCAGTGATGGACGGGTCGGGGGAGCAGCTCGGAGGCGGCGGTGAGGAGGGAGGCGGAGGACGAGGCCCGGACGAGGGACCCCGGGACCCCGTCGGCTCTGGGCTCGGGTGGGAGTCCGCTGGGGCGCGCGGATCTATCCCGCCGGGCGCGTCCGCACCCCGACAGCGGGCATCCGCGTGCGCGCCCCCGGGCAGGCCCGGGCTTGTCGCTGGCGCCACTTCCTGCTGGTCGCCCGGGCTGGGCCGGGTCCCAGCGCCGCCCCTCGGGCCGGGGGTCTGCTTGCTTTTGGTGCCCGGTTCTCCGTGTTCGGAGGAGCTGGGATGCAGGCCGGGTCCCGCCCCCTGTCCATCAGGAGCAGTCGCCCGGCTTTCCATGTTGTCTTTCACTACTAGGGTACCCAGCTCTGTCTCCCTTCAGGGTTATGAGCCTCCCCAGCCCCCTGACTCTTCCTGGGACCTAGGAGTCCAGGCACCCCTTTCCTCCTCTCTCCACCAGGGCCCACCAGCTCTGAGCAGATCATGAAGACGGGGGCCTTTTTGCTACAGGGGTGAGTGTGAGTGAGGCCCTGTTGTGGTGGGGTTGGCTTCGGGAGCAACACGCGGTTCTCACTCTGCGCCTCCCTCACCCACTTCCATTCACATCTAGTTTCATCCAGGACCGAGCTGGGAGGATGGCAGGGGAGACGCCTGAGCTGACCTTGGAGCAGCCACCGCAGGATGCGTCCACCAAGAAACTGGGCGAGTGTCTCAGGCGAATTGGAGATGAACTGGACAACAACATGGAACTGCAGAGGTGTGGTTCCTGCAACCTGGGGTCCATCCGGGGATTTATGCTCCCTCGAGAACTGGGCACTGTGTACTCTGATCCTCCCACCACTCACCTTAGATACTCTGCGCTAGGGATACTCTACATGGTAGGCCACCCCTGAGTCACAGTGGTTCTGGGTAGGTGCTGTACTATACTGAGCCGTGCCCACAGCCCCTCACAGCTGAGTGTTAGGCAGGCTCTGCTTTTAGCCTCCCATTCGTGGGCACTGCATGAATAGTTATCTTAAAGCCAGGTCTCCAGCCCCTGGCTGGTAGATGCTTGCAGGTGCTCTACCACAGAGCCGTGCCTCTGACGCCTCCCATGAGTCTTAGGCAGGGCCCTGGAGGTAGGTGTTGTGCCGCCCTCCACTTGTAGGTACTAGGAGAGCACTTCTGCTGTCACTTTCTCCCCAGGACCTTGGAACTTTGCTTTCTTAGGTGCCTCGCCTCCTTCCCAGCGCAGGCTCTGGCCTTTGTCCTAGCATGGGGAGGCTGTGGGAACTCCTGATGGGTCTGCCCGCCTTGCTCAGCACTGCTCTGTCCTGTAGGATGATTGCTGACGTAGATACAGACTCCCCCCGAGAGGTCTTCTTCCGTGTGGCAGCTGACATGTTTGCCGATGGCAACTTCAATTGGGGCCGAGTCGTTGCCCTCTTCTACTTTGCCAGCAAACTGGTGCTCAAGGTGAGCAGCCACAGGGTCGCGGGCCTCAGGTCTGTGGTGGCCCGGGTGGTGAGGTCCAGGGACAGGAGAAAAATGGCTGTGTATTTATCCCCTCAACAAATGGGTTGTGCCTAATGTATGATGGCCCAACCCCAGCACCTAGTCTCTGCCCCAACAAAGCAATTAGCCCTTCCTAATGGAGCTCTGCTTGGTTGTTGTGACGTTTGAAGTAAGGTGGATGGACAGAGAAATCTAGAAAGATTTCTCAGGATAGGTGGTACCTTAAAACTGGCGTGGTAGTTTATGCTTCTAATTTCAGTACTCATGAGACTGATGTGGGAATATCAAAGTTTAAGGTTAACTATAGCTAAATACTGAGTTTCAGACTATTCTGGCTACCTAAAACCTAGGTGGTTTTTGTTTGTTTGTTTGTTTTGGTTTTTTGAGACAGGGTTTCGCTGTAGTTTTAGGAGCCTGTCCTAGAACTAACTAGCTCTTGTACCAGGCTGCCCTCAAACTCACAAGAGATCCGCCTGCCTCTGCCTCCCTAGTGCTGGGATTAAAGGCTGCACCACCACTGCCCGGCTTTAAAAGCTAATTTACAAAAACAAAACAAACCCAAGAAATGGGCATGACAAATGGGGCGTGTGGCTGAGTAGGGAAGCCTTAGGTTCAATCTCCCATCACCCTACACAAACATAAGAAGGGGGCTGGGACCATGGCTCAGTTGATAGTATTTGATTAGCATATACACTAGCCCTGGGTTTAGTGCCACATAAACCAGGTGTGTTTGGTGCATTCCTCCAGTTCCACCACTTGGGAATTGGAGGTAGGTGATCAGGAGTTGAAGGTTATCTTTACAGAGAACATTGAGATCAGGCTGTGGTAGGGTATGTTAGGGCAAGAATAGGGAGACTACACTGTGACCATCGTCCATGCCACCCCCCATCTCCTTGATGTGGTTACCTGCTTGGGCTGATGGGACTTCAGTATTGGAGGCAGGAGGATAGTGGTCTGAACAATAGTTAGTCCACCTTGAACCCCAAAGTGCATTGTTCCAATCAAGAGAGCAAGTCCTGAGTCTGCTGGAGGCCGTCTTACCTGTCTAGAAAATGTCTCTAGAAGGTGGCTTAGGACCTGAGCTTTGAGGGGTGAGGATTGCTGGTTAAAGCTTATTCTGTCAAGTCTGCCTGCATCACAGTGATAGACATGAAGAGGTGTGTTGCCTGTGCTGGTGGTGTGTTTATATTGTCCCAGCTATACTGTAACAAGAGAATCACCTTAGTCCAGAAGTTCAAGATTGGCTTGGGCAGTGTTAGGAAACTCTAGCTCATAACAGCAAAACTGGGAAGAGTTCTTCCCATGGTCCTGCTGGGCTTTCAGAGCTTTCCAGATTGCCATTGTTGTTCCCAGGTCTTAGAGTCCTCAATATCCTTATCCTTCCAAAAGAACTAAGTATCTGGGCCAAGAGTAGTAGTACACACCTTAAATCCCAGCACTCAGAGGACAGCTGTATCTCTCTCTTTTTTTATTTATTATGTATACAATATTCTGTCTGTGTGTATGTCTGCAGGCCAGAAGAGGGCACCAGACCCCACTACAGATGGTTGTGAGCCACCATGTGGTTGCCGGGAAGTGAACTCAGGACCTTTCTTTGGAAGAGCAGACAATGCTCTTAACCACTGAGCCATTTCTCCAGCCCCAGCCGTATCTCTTTAGTTCTACAACTACAACCTGGTCTACAGAGAGTTCAGGACAGCCAGAACTACATAGAGAAACCCTGTCTCACAAAAACAAAAAACAAAACAAAAAAAACACCACCACCTAGGTGTCTGGGCCCTGAAAGCCAGCTCAAACATTCTGCACTCCCAGCTCTTCCGGGATGGAACCAGGCACACATGCTAGGCTGGTGCTCTGAGCCTTCCCCCTGCCCTGCCTTTGAGTGTTGGGCTAGAGGGCACTGAGGAGTCAGGTTCCTGAGCAGGTGGCTTTTCCTAGATCGTAGTTGATGGAGCTGACTCAGCTGACTCAAGCAGGTGGAGGTGGGAGGAGCCACTGCTTATAGAGGCCAAGGAGTGATAGAAAGGCTTGGGACCTCCTTCTCCAGCAGTGTGGGCACAGGACTCACCCCAGTGTAACCTCCCCACTCCCCGCAGGCCCTGTGCACCAAAGTGCCCGAGCTCATCAGAACCATTATGGGCTGGACACTGGACTTCCTCCGAGAGCGGCTGCTTGTCTGGATCCAAGACCAGGGCGGCTGGGTAAGACTCCTCAGTCCTTGCCACACTTTAGAGCAATGGTTCTCCACCTTCCTAATGCTACAACCCTGTCATACAGTTCCCCATGGTGCAGTCACCCCAACCATAAAATTACTTCGTAGCTACTGTTAGGAACCACAATGTAAATATCTGATATGCAGGATATCTTATATGTCATGACCCACAGATTGAGAACCACTTACATAGAACCAAGGGCCACCACAGAGGTGCCCCAGGCTGTCAGACATGATCTAAGATACTTGTCCTTGATCTCCCAGCTTGGTGCATCTGGTACCCGCTGACTTCTGTGAGCTGAGATGACTTTCCCTTCAGAACCTCTCCAGTACACTGGTGATCCTCTGATCCCAGCTTGATCTTCCCTTTGGTTTTTTTTTTTTTTTTTTTTTTTTTTTTTTTTTTTTTTTTCTTTTTGTTTTGGGCCTGTCCTGGAACTAGCTCTTGTAGACCAGGCTGGTCTCGAACTCACAGAGATCCCCCTGCCTCTGCCTCCCAAGTGCTGGGATTAAAGGCCTGCGCCACCACCGCCCGGCCCCCTCTGGTTTTTTTGAGATTGTCTCATTACCTCATGCCGGCCTCAGACTACTCTAGCTGAAAACTCCCTTGAATTTCTCAGCACCCTGCTTCCCTCCCTCGTGCCAGTTTGTGAGGTGCTGGGGAGGCCCCAGGCCCTGAGCACTCTGCCAGCTGAGCTGTGGCCTCTGTCCTCTTTCTTTGGAGACAGGGTCATGCTGTGGCTCAGGGATGGTCTGGAAGTTACTGTGTAACCAACACTGGTCCAAACGTAATCTTCCACTCAGTGCTGGTGTGGGCCACCACTTCCAAAGTCTAATTTTATTTTTGTTTTCCTGTTTTGGGATTGTGTGTAGGGTATATTTTATTTACCATTTACGTTTATTTTGATGTGTGTGTGCTTGTAAGCACGTGTGTAGAAGTCAAGATAGTGTGCAGTGGTCTGCTCTCTCCGACCCTGTTGGTTCTGGAGATGGAATTTACGTTGATAAAGGCCTGGCAACAAGCACATTTCCCATCGCTCGCTGGCCCTATGGTGCTTTTGGTTTTTTGAAACTGGGTTTCTCTGTGTAGCCCTAGCTGTCCTGGAACTCACTCTGTAAAACGTGCTGACCTTGAACTCAGAGATCCAGCTGCTTCTGCCTCTTGAGTTTTGTTTTTTTATTTTTGAGACAGAGTCCCTCTGTAACAAACAGTCTTGGCTATCCTGGACCTCACTCTGTGGACCAGGCTGGCCTCAAACTCAGAGAGCCACCTGCCTCTGTGCCTCCCGAGTGCTGGCTGGGGTTAAAGGCATGTGCCAGCACCCAGCCTTTTGTTTTTTGAGTGAAGGTTTCAACAAATTTCCCAGGTTGACATTAAACTTATAACCCTGCTGCCTCAGGGTCCTGAGTGTTGGGGCTAGGATTATAGTCCTGGGGTCCCCTTAGAATTCCCACATGTGAGCTCTCTGCTCCCACTCCTCCTTGCAGTTTGGTGTTGAAGTAACAAATGTCTCTGTTCCCAGGATGGCCTCCTCTCGTACTTCGGGACCCCCACGTGGCAGACAGTGACCATCTTTGTGGCTGGAGTCCTCACTGCCTCACTCACGATCTGGAAGAAGATGGGCTGAGGCCACCTGCTGCCTTGGACTGTGTCTTTTCTTCATAAATTATGGCATTTTTCTGGGGTGAATGGGGACAGGGGACAGGCATTTTTCTTACTTTTGTAATTATTGGGAAGGGTGGGAATGGTGGCCTGGGGGAGGGGACAATAAACCTCAGGTCCACTTTGGATTGTATGGTCCAGTGTCCACCCAGCTGGTGTCACCAGCACCAGGCCCCCTGCCCACCAGGGACTTGGAACAGCCTGCTCCACAAAGGGTGCAGCAGCTGCTGTGCTGGCCTTAGCTCTGGGGACAGGGTGTAGGCTGCAGGCCTGGGGGGCCAGATCCACCCCTGCTGGTTCCAAAGAACAGAGTGGAGAGAGCAAACTCCTAGGGGCTGGATTGCCAGAGAGGCACAAAAGGAGAGGAGGACTTTGAAAGGGGATTTGGTCCTTTCCCCCCCTGAGACTGCCACCCATATTCCCAACACTCCGCCATGCCTTCAGAGTGCTCCCTTATTTTCTATGGTTCCGGATGTTGCCTTTTTACACCTTTATTGCCTTGTCCAGGTCTGTCAGGTTGGAGACAAAGGTCAGGCTGTGGTTAATGACTAACTCTGGTCCCCACATCAACAGGGCACCGCAGACGGCAAGTCAGGGGAAAGATATGTGTAGGACACCCACCCCCAGAGTAAAACTGCATGAACACACTTGGGCAAAGAAGGGAGTGAACCGCGGTGGGGGGGGGCACAGGCCACAGCCCCCACCGTCCCTCAGCTGGGGAGGACAGGTTGCCAGTCAGGGTGAGGCCAGAGCCCCATCCCACAATCACCACCAAGCTGAGCTCAGCGTGACTCAGCAGTATTGGCCCGGGCTACCCCTTCCACCAATGACTCAGCAGCAGCCAGTGGCCCTTTTCCCAGGCCCCAAGGCCAACCTTTCCAGTTCCTTGTATTAACTCCCCTTCCAGGATGGGACATTTCTCACCTTTGCCCTCCTCTCAAGTTCCTGAGGTTGGAACCATGGTAGGGGCCTTTCCTGTCCTACTAGGACCTTGCATGCATCAAGTGTTTGGCTGAAGACGATTTTCCTGAATCCTGAGTTCTTGTTCTGTAGACTCGGATTTCTCTAATTCCCAAAGAACAAGCAGCAAGGAAGCCTCTGGACCAGTCTCCAGGAAAGGCAGCCCAGAAATTCCCCATAGGCATGTCTCAGTTCCTAGAAAAACCGGTCCCCAGACCAGACAGGCTCCAGGACTCAGAGCACCAGAGACGCGCACACGCGATACTCCAGGGCTCTCTACCCTTTCCATCCCGCACACCACCTCAAGGCTTCAAGACCTCCGGAGGGAAAAAGCAAACCCACGAAGCATCGTGAACCTTGAAACCCTAGACTTCTGAGTACCCCTTCCATACCACATATCCCCATGAAGTGATACCCTTCATCACGTGAAGCAATTCTTGGGCAATGGAGGTTCTCTTTGCCCTACAGACTACCCCACCCACACTGAGCCCATCGCTGAACTCATGTTCTCAGGCCTTGCCTTCTGTGAGACACCCCCAAAGGACCTCAGAGCCATCCCTCCCCCGAATCGTCATGACCACCCGACCTCAGATTCGCGCTCGAACCACGACCCCCGCCCCTCCCCCAGCCTCCATTTCACAACGCCCTCGCGCTCCAGGCGCGTGACTACCCCATGGGAGGAGGGTGGGGCCGGGATCCCCCTCAGTCAGGATTGGTCGAGTACAATCTTCCTTCCCCACCTCACAGCACCGCCCATTGGCTAATCCCTGGCTGGGGCGTTCCGCCCCCTGGGGGGGTCAGCACAATATAAAAGGAGCCGTCCGCGCTCGGCCCGCAGCAGCCTTCGGAGATCCCGTGGATCTGTGTCTTGCTTCAACAGTGTTTGGACGGAACAGACCCGGGGCCTCCCTTTGTTAGCTTCCACCGCTCCTCATCTGCAGCTGCAGCCTCCGGGACCATCACCTCGCCACCTTCAGCTCCCAGGACCAGCCAGCACCGTCTCTTTGCGGGTAGCTCCAGACTGCGTCTCAACCATGACCTCCCAGATTCGTCAGAATTATTCCACCGAAGTGGAGGCTGCCGTGAACCGCCTGGTCAACCTGCACCTGCGGGCCTCTTACACCTACCTCTCGCTGGTGAGTAGCCCGGGCTGCCCTCCGCACTGGGTCTCTCGCCCACCCTGCTGCGCATGCGCCGGCCCCCTTTGTTCCAACGAGGGCGGGGACCTCGTGCGCCGGCCTCGCCCCTGCACAGTTCTTGTTTACTTTGAGATTGTACCCCAGTGTGGACGACCAGGCTGGCCTCAACTAGCACATACTTTCCCTCTGCTCCCGAGTATTGCTTTTAAAGGTGTGCGCCACTGCGTTCCGTTAACTCTCGCTTATAATATTTCTTACCGCAGGGCTACTATTTTGACCGGGATGACGTGGCTCTGGAGGGTGTAGGCCACTTTTTCCGCGAATTGGCCGAGGAGAAGCGCGAGGGCGCCGAGCGTCTCCTCAAGTTGCAGAACGATCGCGGAGGCCGTGCACTCTTTCAGGATGTGCAGGTAAGAGCGGCGGGGGGACATTGGTCACCACCGAGCGCGCCGCACCCATGCGGCCCCTTGGTTTGTTACTGCCATCCCGTGGTTTTGACCCGATATAGGTCCGACTGCTGGAAAGTTGCATTCCATTCTTGAGGGGTGTATGTGGTGGTGGTGGAGATTGGCAGGTAGAGACAGTTAAATGCACAGTGTCTCAAAGTGGGAAATGCAGTGCAAACCGAGACCACAGGATGCTGTGATCCGGGGAGGCAGGGTCTCACTTTGTGGCCCTAGTTGACCTGAAACTCATCAGAAGCGGGCCGTAATGTTTCTGTACTGAGCAGGCCCTGCATAGGTCGTTTTATTCTTGGCTGGGAGGAAGATGGAGGACTAGTTCTGAGATACTATTTTCTCTTGTGCAGAAGCCATCTCAAGATGAGTGGGGTAAAACCCAGGAGGCCATGGAAGCTGCCCTGGCCTTGGAGAAGAACTTGAACCAGGCCCTCTTGGATCTTCATTCCCTGGGCTCTGCCCGCACAGATCCTCATGTAAGTACCTTCTTAGTCCCTTTTTTCCCTGTTATGGCAAGACCTTGGCTGCCTGTATTTGCTTTGAACTCTCAGTAATACTTCCATCTCAGCCCCTGAACGCTGTGATTATAGAGAACCATCTCCAGTTATTCATTACCTGTCTTTGGGACAGAGTTTTAACTGAACCTCCTGCTCACACCTGCCTCTGAGAATTGGGTCTCTGATGTCTCTCCTTCCTTTGCAGCTCTGTGACTTCCTTGAAAACCACTTCCTGGATAAGGAGGTCAAGGTCATCAAGAAGATGGGCAACCACCTGACCAACCTCCGCAGGTTGGCTGCTGGGCCCCAGGCATCTCTGGGCGAGTACCTCTTTGAGCGGCTCACTCTCAAGCATGACTAGGAGGCCTCTCCTTCCGAGGGGCTCCCACCTCTGCTCTGCACCAGCCCGCCTCAGGACCTTCACCCGAACCTCTCAAGAAGCCACTAGGCAGCTTTGTAACGCCCTGGAGCCCCTCTCAAGTCTTGGACCAAGTAAAAATAAAGCCTTTTGAAGCAGCAGTTGGTGACGCCCGGCTCTTGTTTTCTGTGGGAACCATGTGTGTTGGAGGGATCTCCACCTTCTCGGGGCAGATGGGTCTTGGCAAGAGTGGAGGCCTCATAGCTGAGCTCAAATGAGCTACACCCCTATCACTGAAGGAACACTAAACAACAAATGGGGGCTTCTAAATGCCAGTGCAAGGCTTGCTGGGAGGGTGGGGCAGCCAGGGTCACAGGGTGTCTATGGGATGCTGAGCTAGAGATTGGGGCCATCAAAAAGGAGGATGTGAAAGTTGGGACCACTGTCCAAACGGGAACCAAAACCTTGCTCCAGGGGTGGGTGGGATAGGGTCACTGGATCACACTGCTGTGTCTGCTCTAACAGGAGGAGGGCTGGGTGAAACGGCTCCGTGGATAGTCACGTGGGTAGGAAAATGACCCAATACAATCACTGCTTTGTAGTCTGGCCACCCCATCCTCAGGTTTAGAGATTGAAGGGAGAACTCAGCCATGCAGAAGGCACTGAGGTCCAAGAACCAAGGAAGTAGCCAGTGTGAATGAGAAACATAATTTAAGTTTTGGTTTTCATGGTGTTGGCTGACATCCTGCTTGGCCACACCCCAGGAGGCTGCTTTTCACTCTTTGAGGCTGGGTCTTTCCTCAGTCTAGGGAGGCTTTGAACTTTGGATCCTTTGTTGCGAGCCCACGTATCTTTCTACCCAGTGTCACAGCCTCAAATCCAAACTAAGTCAACATTACCTTTCCTGAAAACCCCATCGTCTCCCAACAGCAATTCAAGGCTTTGCACAGAAGCCCTGGGCAGGCAAGAGCAGATTGAAACCAGGAGGAAGCTGGGGCTCCTGCTATGTGTTTGTGAGGCTAAGGCAGGACTACTGCAGATTTGAGCCACCACCTTGGGGTACGTGCCAAAGTCCTACCTGAAAAACTAAGCTTATACACAGCCGGGGAGCGGAGGGGAGACACACCACACCACAGGACTTCATGCTCAGCCACACAGAACTCTTAAATACACGTATATTTTTTTCATCTGGACACACTCCAATCACACACCTTCTGCCCTCCCCCTCCAAATGCAAACCAAGAAGGGCCTCAGGTATGAGGGCCCCCCTTCACTGAAGAGCTGGGGCAGGCCAAAGCTTGCAGGCAGAAAGGCCTTGAGGTACACATGGGGCTTCGAGAAGCCAGTGGGCTTGGTTCTAGATCAGGAAAGGGGACCAGGGGACAGCACAGTGATCAGACTCCTGGTTTGGCCATTGGGAGCCAGAGCCCAGCTGTTTCACCGCAGGCTGAGCCGTTGTGGGGTTGATAGTCATCCTGTTCTCAAAGTTCCAGGAGGCATTTCCTGGAACCAAAGGGAAGAATAACCTCTGGTCCACAAGAAGGCAAAAGGGTCTGGTCCAACTCTGCATGCTCCCTGGGAGAAATGAGCAGGACACACCTAGGGAGATCAAGCTTGCAGCCTGTCCTGGAATCCCAGCTGTGGGCTGAAATGGAGGACCTTAAGCACTGTTACCTTTGCTTCACTGACTTTTGCCCTGCCTGGCCTTGAACTAACTTCCTGTGTAGCAGAAGACAAACGCCTGACCCTTCTGCCTCTACTTACTGAGTGCTGGAATTACAGAGGTGCACCAGCAATTCAGGTTTACAGGTGAGGTGTTAGAGCTAGATCCCTGGGTGTGCCAGGCAAGCACTCTGACCAGCCCATATTCAACTATGTTAATCCCTGAGGCGTCCTAACTCTGCACTTGGCGTCCCGGTTGCAGGGAGGCCACAGATTCTAACATGAGGTGGTCTTGGGGGCAGGCCTGGGCACAGCATACTCTGTGGTTTAGGATCAAATGAAGAAGCTGCAGCCTGGAAAACAATAAACTAGGAGGCTGAAAACCTCTGGCATCGAAGAACAAAGGCAGATTCCTGGCCTCTGGGACCCAGTCTGAGTCTGGAGACTCCAGACCAGAACACAGAATGCATTCTGCAATTCAAGAAAGGCACACAGCGGTGTGGAGTGTGGGGGCTCCAAGACTGGAGCCCAGGGGCTGGAGTGTCTGAAACAGGCTGGGCTGTGGACCACACTGGGTACGGGTCCCTCTCAGGGTCTGGAGTGGGGTTCAGGCACCCTCCCATCTATCAGGCCCTCTGCAGGAGGGGCACAGGACAGGCAGGGAGTGGGGTAGAGGGGCTTAGTTACGTTCCTCGCCCACGGAACTGGTAGGACTCAGGGGCTCAGTGGGTGTGCTGAGTGAGCTGGAGGCGCCAGTGTCCACTGAGTTGCTTCTCTTGCTTCCGCCTGTGGAGGAAGAACAGGAGGCCCGGCGGGGCCACTCCGGTGCTCGGATGTTGCGGCGGTCCTTGGCAGCCTCTTCTTCCTCGTCATAACGCTCACTGTCTTCCCGCAGTAGTCCATCCCGGGGCTCTTCCTCATCCTCACTCTGGTGTGGGCTGGAGTGTCGAGACAGTGAGGGCGATGGCGGTACGGAGGCTGGCCGTGGGTAACGGTACCCCTGGGACTGCATAACCCGGAGCAGACACAAGCAGGGTGAACGGGCGCCATGTAAGCCCTCATTAGTGTTCATTAACCGTCAGTCCCAAACCAGCCTGTCCTGCCCGGCCCAGCATTGGTCCGGGCTTCACTTACCGCATCTACCGCATGGGGCTCATAGGTGAAATGATCTGGAAAAGCCTTGGCCAGGGCCATGTGGCGTGCAGACATGTAGTACTGGGCAGAAAGGGGGACAGAATATGTCAGAGTTACACTCCAGCTACTGGCAGATCAAGCCCAGCCACTTTTTTTTTTCTCTGTGTAGCCCTGGTGGTCCTGTTAAACCCAGAGATCGGCCTGCCTCTGTCTCCCGAGTGCTGTTTTATTAGGCATGGGCCACTACTGCCTGGCCATATATTTTATTAAAAGAACCACACTCCCCAGATTATCACTGGGGGAAGCAAGGCAGGGTCTCTACACTCCGGTAGGTTCTAGGTAAGGGTCTACAACCTAACCACCCCATTTCCCCTGAGCCAACACTGAGCCAAGCTCTACCCCTGTCACAGGAGGAGTCTAGGCAAGGGCTTGACAGCCAACTTTCCCTTGGTAATTAGCTAGGCTGGCTTATAGATAGTATAGTTCTCCTGGCCTCCCCCTTCCAAGTACCCAGGATAACAAGCCTGGGCCAATAGATACAGCTGGCCCCACCTGATTGTTGTCTGTTTCGAGTTGAGGGGATGACTACCCATGCCCAACTGGCTCTGAACCGTCAGCAGGCTCCATTTTGCTACACCGCTAGGCAAACAAGTTCACTGGGCAGACTTGTCTGTCCTAGGTAAATGTCCTTATGTAACTGCAAATGCCCCGTCTGGCTAGGCACGGGCAATCTTTGTCACACCTTACCACAGGGCAGACAAATTCTCAGATCAGGTGCTGACTGGGCACACCACTACACACAAATGAAAAAAATGCTGGCCAGATGCTATTTCTAGGTTGTTTTGTTTTCCTTTTTTTTTTTTTAAATTGATTTTTATTGAGCTCTACATTTTTCTCTGGTCCCCTCCCTGGCTCTCCCCTCTCCCCTTCAACTCTCCCCCAAGATCCCCATGCTCCCAATTTACTCAGGAGAGCTTGTCTTTTTATACTTCCCATGTAGATTAGATCTATGTAAGTCTCTCTTAGGGTTCGCATTGTTGTCTAAGCTCTCTGGGATTGTGTCCTTACTTTTCTTTTTCTTTTTTGATGTATGTATGCGTGAGTGTGTATGTGTGTGTGTGTGTGTGTGTGCACACACGTACCCATCTACAAAGACCAGAGTACAATTTCAGGTGTTATGCCTCAGGAGCTTCTTTTTACGATTTGCTTATTCATGTGTGAGTATATGCATGCGTGTATACGTGTATACGTGTGTGTAAGCTGCGCATGTGTGCCGTGCAGAGACCAGAAGAGGCACTGACTCCCGGCGGTGGAATGACCAGTATTTCCTGTGAGTGCTGGTGTCTGCATGCTGATAATCACACAACAAGTGTGCCTAACCACAGCAAGCCCTCTCTCCAGCCCATCTTTTTCTTTTTTCTTTTTGGAGTCACGTCTTGTTATGTAGACTAGGCTGGCTTGGAACTCACAGAGATCCACCTGCCTCTGCAGGTGAGGTACTGAAATAAAAGATGTGTAACAATGCCGGGCCTTCATCTTGTTTTTTTGAGATGGGGGGTTTGCCATAAAGAGGGTGCTGGCTATCCAGTGAGCCCCAGGTATCCTCTTTTCAGTGCTGCACACACAGGGCCACCGGATTTATTGTTGTTGTTGTTTTCTATGGAAAGGGGTGTTTCGCCTGCTTGTTGTGTCTGTGCACACGAGTATGTCTGTCAGATCCCCTAGAAATGGAATTTTAGATGTTTGTGAGCCACCATGTGGGTCCTGGGAATCGAACCCTAGTCCTCTGGAAGAGCGGCCAGTGCACTTAACCACTGAGCCATCTCTCCAGCAACGAATTTAATTTCTTCTTTTTCAAGACATGGTTTCTCTGTGTAACAGCCCTGGCTTTCCTGGACCTCTCTTTATAGACCAGGCTGGCCTCAAACTCACAGAGATCTGTGTGCCTCTGCCTCCTGAGTGCTGGGATTAAAGGTGTGTGCCACCAGGGCTCCAGTCCCATTAATTTTTTAGAGACAGCAATTATTATAAGTAAGAGATGCTGCCCTATCTCCAGCCTCTTTCTTTTTGTTTTTATAAAGACAGGGTTTCTCTGTGTTTCACTGGCATCCTGGAACTAGCTCTGTAGACCAGGATGGTCTGGAACTCAGAGATCCGCCTGCCTCTGTCTCCCAATTGCTGGGATTAAAGGCGTGTGTTACCATCGCCCATCCATCTCCAGCCTCTTAAGGCTACAGAACCAGCTGAGGCTAAGGAAAGGGAAGTCATCGGTCATACCCGGCCTAGGTACTTCCAATCCAACAGGTCTGACAGCCGCTCTGTGCGATTCCGCTGGATGATGCGCTGTCGCCGGCTTTGCTGACAGAAACTGTAGAGGAAGGAGGTGAGCTGCGAGCAGGAGTCATCCAGGCTGCGGAACCTCCGATCCAGAATGTAAATGCCTACAGAGGCAGGGATCAGGGTTTGTTAAAAAAAAAAAAAAAAAAAAAAAAGTCTGAATTGTGGGCGAGACCCCCCTTGCTGTCCTCCCTTTGTACTGACCGTAAGCTGAGGGATCTGCGATGTGTTCCTCCATAAAGCAGCCAAAGCCCGAGAGGTTGGTGGAGATGCTGGGGATGCCCATGACGGTACACTCCGCTGTAGGGCCAAGAGTGGGAAACCAAACTCAGCAGGTCTCCAGCCTGCTCCGCAAGAGACGCCTCTACACTGCCACCTGCTGGCAACTGCTGGCAACTGCGCCAAGCACACCCTGGCTGCACCTGAGGGGTGCTGAGGGCCTCCCCCATTTCTAGGAAGGGAAGCTAGGAGACTCAGAAAAGTGAATCAGCTGAAGAGCCCGTGATTAAGAGGATACTTATTTATGGAACGCTAACGGTGGGCTTACATAACTTTATTTAATCATCACATAAGATACATTGTGTGTGTGCATGTGTGCCTGGTGTCAGAGTATAAACTTTGGATTATCACATGGTCATAGTCAGGTTGATGGTTGTTGTTCTGAGATATGTATGTATGTATGTATGTGTTTGTGTGTGTGTGTGTATATGTATGTATGTATGTTTTTCAAAACAGGGTTTCTCTGTGTGGCTCTGGCTGTCCTGGAACTCTCTTTGTAGACCAGGGTGGCCTCGAACTCACAGAGATCTGCCTGCCTCTGCCTCCCAAGTGCTGAGATTAAAGGTGTGCACCACCACCGCCCGGCTTAGTCAATGCTCTTAATTGCTGAGTCATCTCTCCAGTCACTGTCTATGAGACAGGGTCTCATGTAGCCCAGGATGACCCTAAACTCAGGAGGCAGCCAAGGATGACCCTGAACTCCCAATCTTCCTGCCTCTGCGTCCATTAGTGAGCGTTGCAGGTGTATATCCTGGCTGCTACCTGGTTTGTCTGGGGGTTTCCTGTGGAGCCCAGGAAGGCCGTGAAATGCTGACTGCTGCTTCAGCCTTCCCAGTGCGCTTGCTTCCACTAGGGGTGAGGAAAGAGCTCAGAGAGAGCTAATGGCAGCCGGTGATCCCAGGCTCAGGATAGGTAAGGCAAGGGCTGCCATGGGTTCAAGTCTAGGGGACAGAGACCCCGTGGTAGAACAAAGCTTTTCAGGCATGGCAGCAAGTATCTTTTTTTTTTTTTTGACTTTTGAGACAGGTTTTCTCTGTACAGCCCTGGCTGTCCTGGAACTCACTCTGTAGACCAGGCTGGCCCCGAACTCACAGAAATCCACCTGCCTCTGCCTCCAGCACCCGGCCACTACTATCTTAATTAGAGCAGTGCCAGAACTTGCAAGTGACCCTCAAGGCCTGGGCTGCAGCTTCCTCACAGAAGGAGGGGGTGGGCGTTACCCCTCTCTGGAGATTCCAGCCACTCCTTCCCACATCTCCTCCCAGACATGTGTAATTCGGTTCCAGCCTTATTGGTCTTATGGCCGTAGGAGGTCCTACAGTATAGATTGTGGGAGGAGGCCCCATTGCTGCAGCCATGGAGGTGGGGAGACTCCTCTGTGATAGGACTGCTTTAAGGATGCCCACACTCCTCTGAGTAACCCCTCACCCAAGCTCTGTAAGGAAGAGAAATAATGATTCACTTAGTGTGTGTGTGTGTGTGTGTGTGTGTGAGAGAGAGAGAGAGAGAGAGAGAGAGAGAGAGTGTGCTTGCGAGAGAGAATTGATGAATGTGCCTATAATACACTCAAGAGGTAGGAGGGTCAAGAGTTCAAGGTCATCCTCAGACACTGTGAGCTTGCGGCCAGCTTGGGTTTCACAAAACCCTGCATAAAAAAACAAAATTCACAAGAAAGCCCCATGGTCTTCCCTCAGTGAGGGAGACTTTGAAATAGGCGATTGCATCTCAGAGCTCAGGGTGTGGAGAGGGGACCAGGAAGCTCAGCTGGTAGACCGCTTGTCTGGTGGGCACAAAGCCCTAGGTTCAACAGCCAGCACTGTAAAATAGGTCGCAATGGTGCAGGCTTGTAATCCCAGCACTCTGCAAGTAGAATCAAGAAGATCAGGAGTTCGAGTCCAGCCTTGGCTACATAGCAACTCTGAGAGGCACTGGGAACAGTCTTGCTCATCAGCACCTCACGGTTCTGAGAGATCACAAGCCAGCAAACTGGAGACGAAGTTATCCTTGACAACCACCGGAAATGAACACCACACCAGTCTTCTAGTCCTGAGCCCTGTGGACTTCTGTGTCACAAAACCGTATAATGGAACAGGCTCTGCCCTTACCATCATCCCTAAACTGAGGAGCCATGTTGCAGGTTCAAGCCAGAACTGCACAAACCCCAGCACTCTGCTACCCCTTTCCCTCCCCCCACACTCACCAGGTGTGTAGCCCCAGGGCTCATAGTAGGAGGGAAAGACCCCAAGGTGACAGCCTCGGACAAACTCCTCATAGTCCACAGGGAGCAGAGGGCTCGTGGAGGAGAGGAACTCCGGGTGGAAAATCACCTGCCAAAGGAAGAGAAGTAAGGACCCAGAGTAGCTAGGGAGGGCAAATCAAACAAACAGCAAAGTAGACAAGCCAAAGACTTAAACTAGATTCAGCTGGCCTCAGAAGTCATGGTTCTTTCCAAATAGTTCAGGTGGTAGTTTGAAATAAAAATGGCCCCCCAGGCTCATAGGGAGTGACACTATTAGGAGGTAAGGCCTTGTTGGAGGAAGTGTGTCATTGGGGGTGGGCTCTGCGTTTCAGAAGCTCAAGCCAGGCCCAGTGGCTCACTATCATTTCCTGCTGCCCATGGATCCAGGTGCAGCACACTCAGTTCCCTCCCCAGCATCATGTCTGCCTGTGGCTGTTATGCTTCCGCTATGGAGGAATGGACTAAGCCTCTGAACTGTAAGCCAGTTCCAATTAAATGTTTTCCCTTATAAGAGTTGTCATGAGCGATGGTGGCGCACGCCTTTAATCCCAGCACTCGGGAGGCAGAAGCAGGCGGATCTCTGTGAGTTCAAGACCAGCCTGGTCTACAAGAGCTAGTTCCAGGACAGGCTCCAAAGCCACAGAGAAACCCTGTCTCGAAAAACCAAAAAAAAAAA